TCAAGTTGCAGTTTATTGGCAATAGCATTCCAGACCCTGGGGGCATCAATAGGGTAGCGAGATGGGAGTCGGGGTGGTTAGGGCGTCGATCACCCTCCAGTGCTTCTTCTTTCGTATGGCATTGTGAAAAGCAACAGTTTTGATTTTCTTCTTCATGATCGTCATATATTCATGCAAAGGTTCCTCATTCAGTCAAATTATGTGGCTGACGCAGTGTGGATTTCAGCGATACCGCCAGAATGTGCCGACATTCACATTTGCTCTGACCTTGTGAAATGCTCTCTGCGCTGTTGCTTTTCAGGCCGGGATAACTTTGCCGGGCATTCAGCCGCCGATGTGATGCCATTCGTTGTGATTTCGCGCATAGCAGGGAAGACCGCGAGCTATAGTTGGTCATCTTCCCCATCCTCCAGTCTAATTAATTATGCAGTACTAGCGGTAAGTACCCGGCGTTGCCCCGGGCGAAAAAGACAGACACACACATGGACATACACACACACTTTCTATGTACATGAGTTTAGTGGAAGAAGCAAGGAACAGATAAGTGTGTTGTCCGCACACAAACATTATCATTGTAATATTTGCAAGGTGATTATTTATTAAAAATATGTTTCTATCAACGTGATTTGACACGCAAAAAAAATGAATGCAGAGCAAGTTAATAATAAATTATTAGTTGTGAGCACACTAACGAAAACATGTGATTATTTTCAAGGTGATTATAAAAATACCAGGTTTCTGTGTACAAGCGTTGAGCGAAAGAAATACGGAATAGAAAAATTCGTTGTCTGCACGCAAACATTATTAATGTATTCTTGGTTCTTTCGGTAAAGTCACGTAGAAGGGAAACAATAAAATAATAAAAATACAAAACAATAAAATTCTCACGACGTTTCGACTGCAACACAAGCAATCATCATCAGGTGTGAAAAAACACAAAAAATGTTCTTGCTGTGGTATAAAACAATACCATTCTCACGACGTTTCGACTGCAACACAAGCAATCATCATCAGGTGTGAAAACCACAGAAAGAAAATGTTCTTGCTGTGACCGAAGTTTATTGGCAATAACATTCCAGAACCTGGGGGTAGTCGTATTATTTTATTGTTTCCCTTCTACGTGACTTTACCGAAAGAACCAAGAATATTAATCCCTGCAGTCACGAAAGCTTTAAATAAAAATTGTTAATGTACATTCATTGTGTCTTTCGGTAAAGACACGTAGTTGAAAAAAGAAAAAAAACAGAAATTAATTTCGATGTTTTATTTATTTAAAAAACACATTTCACCTACGTGACTTCACCGAAAGAACCAAAGAGTATAGGGCAGTGTTCTTCTTTGCAAGGCCCGCGGGCCACTGACGACCCCTGGCGGCCTTGATTGCGGACCCCCGACTATACACAAATGTGAAAAACACACCCACCCCCACCATCATCATTATCACTGTCAAACAAACCCACACCCACCATCATCATTATCACTGTCAAACACATCCACACCAACCCCCACCATCATCATTATCACTGTCAAACACACCCACACCCACCATCATCATTATCACTGTCAAACACACCCACACCCACCATCATCATTATCACTGTCAAACACACTCACACCCACCCCCACCATCATCATTATCACTGTCAAACACACCCACACCCACCATCATCATTATCACTGTCAAACACACCCACACCCACCAACATCATTATCACTGTCAAACACACCCACACCCACCCCCATCATCATCATTATCACTGTCAAACACACCCACCCCCACCATCATCATTATCACTGTCAAACACACCCACACCCACACCCACCATCATCATTATCACTGTCAAACACACCCACCCCCACCATCATCATTATCACTGTCAAACACACCCACACCCACCATCATCATTATCACTGTCAAACACACCCACACCCACCCCCATCATCATCATCATTATCACTGTCAAACACACCCACACCCACCATCATCATTATCATTATCACTGTCAAACACACCCACCCACCCCCACCATCATCATTATCACCGTGCTGTCAAACACCCCCACCCCCATCATCATCATTATCACCGTGCTGTTAAACACACCCACCCCCATCATCATCATTATCACTGTCAAACACACCCACACCCACCATCATCATTATCATTATCACTGTCAAACACACCCACACCCACCCCCATCATCATCATTATCACTGTCAAACACACCCACCCCCACCATCATCATTATTACTGTACTGTCAAACACACCCACACCCACCCCCATCATCATTATCACCGTGCTGTCAAACACACCCACACCCACCCCCACCATCATTATCACCGTGGTGTTAAACACACCCACACCCACCCCCATCATCATCATTATCACCGTGCTGTCAAACACCACACACACCCACCCCCACCATCATCATTATCACCGTGCTGTCAACCACACCCACACCCACCCCCATCATCATTATTATCACTGTGGTGTCAAACACACACATACCCACCCCCATCATCATCATTATCACCGTGCTGTCAACCACACCCACACCCACCCCCATCATTATCACTGTCAAACACACCCACACCCACCCCCACCATCATCATTATCACCGTGCTGTCAAACACCACACACACCCACCCCCATCATCATTATCATTATCACCGTCCTGTCAAACACACCCACCCCCATCATCATTATCACCGTGCTGTCAAACACACCCACACCCATCATCATTATCACCGTACTGTCAAACCCACCCACACCCACCCCCATCATCATCATTATCACTGTCAAACACACCCACACCCACCATCATCATTATCATTATCACTGTCAAACACACCCACCCCCACCCCCATCATCATCATCATTATCACTGTCAAACACACCCACCCCCATCATCATCTTTATCACCGTGCTGTCAAACACACCCACCCCCATCATCATTATTATCACCATGCTGTCAAACACCACACACACCCACCCCCATCATCATTATCACCGTGCTGTCAAACACACCCACACCCACCCCCATCATCATTATCACCGTGCTATCAAACACACCCACACCCACCCCCACCATCATTATCACCGTGGTGTCAAACACACCCACACCCACCCCCACCATCATCATTATCACCGTGCTGTCAACCACACCCACACCCACCCCCATCATCATTATTATTACCGTGGTGTCAAACACACCCATACCCACCCCCATCATCATTATCACCGTGCTGTCAACCACACCCACCCCCATCATTATCACTGTCAAACACACACACCCACCCCCATCATCATTATCACCGTGCTGTCAAACACACCCACACCCACCCCCATCATCATCATTATCACTGTCAAACACACCCACACCCACCATCATCATTATCATTATCACTGTCAAACACACCCACACCCACCCCCATCATCATCATTATCACTGTCAAACACACCCACCCCCATCATCATCTTTATCACCGTGCTGTCAAACACCACACACACCCACCCCCATCATCATTATCACCGTGCTGTCATACACACCCACACCCACCCCCATCATCATTATCACCGTGCTATCAAACACACCCACACCCACCCCCACCATCATTATCACCGTGGTGTCAAACACACCCACACCCACCCCCACCATCATCATTATCACCGTGCTGTCAACCACACCCACACCCACCCCCATCATCATTATTATTACCGTGCTGTCAAACACACCCATACCCACCCCCATCATCATTATCACCGTGCTGTCAACCACACCCACCCCCATCATTATCACTGTCAAACACACACACCCACCCCCATCATCATTATCACCGTGCTGTCAAACACACCCACACCCACCCCCATCATCATCATTATCACTGTCAAACACACCCACACCCACCATCATCATTATCATTATCACTGTCAAACACACCCACACCCACCCCCATCATCATCATTATCACTGTCAAACACACCCACCCCCATCATCATCTTTATCACCGTGCTGTCAAACACCACACACACCCACCCCCATCATCATTATCACGGTGCTGTCAAACACACCCACACCCACCCCCATCATCATTATCACCGTGCTATCAAACACACCCACACCTACCCCCATCATCATTATCACCGTGCTGTCAAACACACCCACACCCACCCCCATCATCATTATCCCCGTGCTGTCAAACCGCAATGGTTTCAAATGGTGTGGCGGCCCCCCTCAACTCCAGGTGCCCTGCCTCTAACCCCTGAAAATGGGTGAAGAACACCGATTGCTATGTGGGATGATGACCGGTGGACGATATTAATGATGGAGGGAGTCTCGCAATGATGCAACCCACGAATTGGGAAACTATGAAATGCCAAACAGAGAGATGCCAAATGTTTATTTTTTTATTGGGGGGGGGGGGGTACTTTCATCCAAGCAGTGATTTGATAACGGCTTCTTTTGCGATCCATAATATAGTTGTTTATTTGGGTTAGATCGCGTATAAATATATAAATGTGTCGCTAAACCCGCCACCACCCGACACAGCCAATTGGTAATGTTGGTCACGTAAACAGAACGTGCCAATTCGCTGCTAGTACAGCACCACAGGTTGAGTGTTGGAGAGTCCAATATGAGTAGCGACGTTTCGCCAGTAATTACAACTAGCATAATCAGATTGTCGTAAATGTTGTGGATTTACTCTCCAACACGCCAGTGATGCTGTACTGGCAACGAATTGGCACGTTCTGTTTACGTGAAAAATCTTACTAAATTGGCTGTGTCGGGTGGTGGCGGGTTTAACGATACATTTATATATTTAGGCGATCTAACCCAAATAAAAACCTTTATTGATGAATATTGGTCGCGAAAGCCTACCCCACCCCGCCCCTCCCCCACCGCCCCGCCCCTCCCCCCTCGCCCCACCCCCCGCATGTTAACTGCCGAGAGAGCCGCCGTCCAATCAGAACTCGCCTCCGATTCATAACCCGCCCTCCGACGTTCAGCGAATCAGATCGCTTCGTCTCGTCGCTCAGCCCGCCATTTAAAAAAAAAGGCTTGAATTTTTCCTTCTTCGGTTCAACTCGCCTTATCTCGTTTCACATGTAACCGCGTTTCTTTTTCCAACGTTCGTTATTTATTCGCACGTTCATTAATCGTCGGCTCGCAGCGACCGCGTCAATGACGTCCACGTCGACAAAAGTGAGTTCGTTGCGGACGTACCAAACCCCCGTGGAGGCCTTGTTGAGGCCTACAATGCCGCGGTCTCGCCTGAGCGGCTCGCGGGGATTGAAGCCTCCCGGTTCTGCGGCGCCTCCCAACCGAGGGCTGCTGTCTCACCCGGATCCCCGTGCCGGCGTTTGGCGGGTTATAAGAGGCGGATTTGTTTACGTGCGTCGAGATATAAACAAGCCGGGGTGCTACTTCTTTCATCGTCGTCGTCGTAATTTTGTGCGTTAATTCCCCGCTGCAATGTCATACCGATTGTCCGTTTGGCGGCTCGTCGCGAGACGACAATCCGTGCGCATCTTCGGCATTGCAATCGGAACGCTTCGTGACCCACGCAAGCGGATCTCGCAGAAAGTTGCCTCCCTGCTCGGAGATCCCTTCCAAAGTGACCCTCGGTGCACCACGCCAATGGGCGGAATGTTATATATCGCGCGCTCTCCGCTACCGAGGGAGTCCTGTGTTCGTCGCGTGATAATCCGTGCCGCGGCAGTTAATTGTCAAGGCTGGCATTTTACCCAGGTTAAAATCCAAAATCTAAATTGGCATCATTGGGTTGGGGTTTTTTTTTATTTCTGGTGCAGAGAGGGAGAGCGGTGACACGGCTGAAATCAACTCGCTGCATTTTGCGAATGCAGTTTAATCGCAGTGGGCTGAAATTTGATTTTGAATCTCAGCGGTGCCGGGCTCTCGGCACCCTTCTGACGTCTGCCTCATTCGGTCACAGTCATCAAAATGATCACCATCGCTGCAGGCCATAATAGTCATTATCATACTGGTGGGAACGAAGTTGTAAACTGAGTGTACCAGCCTGCAATAGATTAATGTGTCCGTCCGTCCGTCTCCTTTCAATATTTTAACGAAGTGAAATCTCGTGCTGTTGGGTGTAAAATCAGCAATAGACAGCGCAGAGACTTGATATGTCTTATAAAATTGCGCAAAATTCCAATGTTCCTACCAGCCCACCCTGCAGGGACCTGTTAATTAACATTGACCATAATCATTTATGTCAACACTATCATCGTCATCGTCATCATCAAACTCTTCGCCAGGGTTTATAACACGAGTGCCACAGTTGGAGTTTTGCACAGTCACATAGTCACTGTAAGATGTTTTTCTTGTTCGTGTTTTTGTTTGTTGTGGTTGCACCCGATTCAAGAGCCGAATAGCTCACAGGGCTATACCAAAATAAATAAACTGAAACAAACGGTGGCTGACAGAAAGTGAAATTTCCGCCACTGACTGACGATCCGCAGGAGAGATTAGTCCTGACGAATTGCCCGTTTGAGCGGATAGATGGTTTGACTTGAGGACGGCAGGGGACGCGGTTAAATTCCGTCGTAATAATAATAATCTCGACGTTATATAAAGAGCCTTGAATATAGAGAAATCTCAAAACGCCGTACAAAAAAATACACTCCAAAATCCAAATGAATACATTCTAAAGATATGTGGATCAAAAATGCTAACATACAGGATATCATTATCTTAGCTCTTTCGGTAAAGTCACGTTGAAGGGAAACAATAAAATAATAAAATATCACCTTCTTGAACCTACCGTTTGATATAATGCTCCCCACGCCGCGTCAACCACGTGGGTTAGTTGACCATACTTCACGCTTGTTCCGTGCGTCTCGGCGAAGTGGGTACCCGGTTCACATATTCAGCCATCGATGCTATCTCGGTGTAGGAATTCGAGCTCAGGGTTTTCAGGTTCATATCGCAAGTGCGTTAAACACTGCGGGGGATGGTAAGCCAAGTTGACCTGCAAGCCGGCTTTGAATTCGCGTCCTGTTGATTGTGAGTCTTGTGCTCTCGCCCAGTGGTTCTCAATCGGCGGCACGCGGGACCCACTTTGAGTGGGACGTGCCAATGTCCCGGGGGGAGGTACGTGGGGTGATTTATAAATGTTGTGAAATTATATCATACGTGAGTAGTCATTGATGGATGATCGCGTATGAATAGGTTAATATGAAATAACCACGAATTTGAATTCTATTTGGTAACCTAAAACGATATAAAAGACATTCTTAGCTCTTTCGGTAAAGTCACGTTGAAGGGAAATAATAAAATATATATAAAACAATAAAAATTATCACGACGTTTCGAGCATAACACAAACGGTCGTCATCAGACCGTTTGTGTTATTAAATTATCACGACGTTTCGAGCATAACACAAACGGTCGTCATCAGACCGTTTGTGTTATGGTCGAAACGTCGTGAGAATTTTTATTGTTTTATATATATTTTGTTTCCCTTCAACGTGACTTTACCGAAAGAGCTAAGAATATGAATTACTGCAGTCACGAAAGCTTTAAATAAAAAGAACAAATGACGTCATGCGTGCAGAGCGTCCGTTGAATTCGCTTTCAGTTACTAGTTAGTTTGGGATACTTCAACATTGATAATTGGTTAAAATATTGATGTTCATTACTTCTACATTTATTTCTCAAAACCGTCTTGGGTCAGGCAAGAGGGGGGGGGGGGTTACTCGGTTAAAACAAAATTCAAAAACGGGATACAGTGGGCAAAAAATGTTTGGAACCACTGCCCTAGCCACCGCGCCTCCTAGCCAGATGTAAGTGAATATGGGTAGAAATGCATTGGCAGCAGATCGCAAATACGGCCCAAACACATGTAAGGAAGGAGCGTGGAGAACAACTTTTCCTTTGAATTGCGTGCGGTGGCGCATGCCTGTTAGGCTGTTACCCAGGGCTTTGGAGGCGAGGTGGATCACAGGGGTTTGTCGAATTCAAGCCCGCGAAGTGGCCAGGAGATGGCAGCAGAGCACAAATATTATTGAATATATATTCTTGAATATTTGTACGATATTAGGTCATGTTACCTCTTATGGTCTACAGACTTGTATTAAATTAAAACTATCCTCGTTGGCCGACGTGGCAGCTGGCTCAAGGATATGAGGACTGAGCTGACACGGTTAAGATCTCGGGTTCAAATCCTTTCGGACGCAATTGATGAAACCAGGCTCTTTTAGTGTAGTGGAATTGATGGTTTAAGGATCGTCTCCAATGACTGCACAAAACCCATCATGTAAAACTGTGGTGTTCTATTGTGTTTTGTGTCGCGGCACGTGGAGTGCGCCTTCTGAATAAACTAGGTCACTTCAAGGGGCCTTAGAAGACGTTTTGTGATCGATTGTTTCACATGCCATTATCTAGCATGAGGTGATTGACTTATCTCCAATAGTTCTGTACGTATATTTTGTTTTGTCTTGTGCTTGATGCGATTGTGATATTGGAATAATATTTGCTCAATAATAAAACGAAGTGGCTGTTAACTCATTGAAGAGAGCTCGATCTTCATTGTTCTGAGAGCGATGGCCAGGTTCCCTTGGCCACTTTGAAGCAAGCTGGCACTGCATATTCCCAGGACTGACCCAAATCTGGCCACCGGCACTCAAGCTGTCCTAAAAAAATGGTCCTGATTTCATGGAGTCAAGATGGCATACTACGGAATAATGTTAGCTTGGGATTGCATAATTTACCCCAAGTATATCTTAAACCTCGTTTGTAGAAATACAAATTGCTTTCACTTCTCCGCCAGTCGTGGAGGGACCATGAAGCGTTGGTGCAAGCAACATGCCGAGCCAGTCCAGGAACATCCCGGCGCAGCTTGTCTTCTGATGTATGATGGTGACTGAAACGTTCCATGATTGATTCCCGACGGACCCTGTCATCACCGGCTCCCTCCCACTTGTTCCCCCGTCATCCTCTGCCCTGCGTGTGCCGTGTCCCACCCGCCCACGGCAGGTCGGTGAGATCTTCTCAGCGGCAGGAGCGGCGTTCTCAAAGTTGGGCGAACTCACCATGCAGCTGCACCCCGTGGCAGACACATCGCCTTCGGGGTAAGGAGACCCGCTCGCCTTGATTTTTCATGGTCATCGTCAGTCATTCCGTGGCCATCATGATTCATCATTGTTATTTTTCGTATTACGAACATCAAAAATCATCATCATCAACTTCACCATCCATTATTGTCATCGTCTTTTCACCCCCAATGTGGGGGTCGATATTCTTGTATCTCCAGGTTTTCTTGTCTCTTGTAACATGTAATTGGGCTCTTCTTGTGCACCAAACTGCCTCGTGTTATCTCGATACTTAATTCTTTGTCTTCCTTTTAGTCTTGCCCAAAATCCTACGAGCAATGCACAGGTTCACCACAATATAATATTTAGCCTTAATAAAAAAATATATTATTCATTTTATCCTGAATAAAGTAGTGTTTTGTAAAACATTTCTGGATAAATTGATAGCACGGTGGTTTTTTGACGAGTTATTGCTAGAAAGTTATAATCCTTTGAAAGACTTGTGACAAACTCTATTTTGCGTTAACTGCCTTAGAATAACTTTAAAGTAATATCTATTTCTAGTGGAAGTGCACCAAATCACAAAACAATCATGATAAAAATGTGAAATACAATTATCAAAGTAAAGGAAATCTGATATCGTTGTATCATGAAATGTAATATCATTTTGTGAAAAAAAAGATACTGCTCAAATCCTAGTTCTTAGACTCGCGTTTCGCCGCCATTGTTGTGTTGGATGAAGATTTCTGCCGTTTGGACATCTACACATTCTCAGACTACACACATTTCGAATTGATTTAGCGTCTTAAAAACGATTGGTAAATCATTTGAAGGAAACAATGAGAAGTCTTTGAGAAAGAAGTGCAGGCATTGCTTTTGGGGTATGTCTCCTAATTTAAGTCGGAATCCAACACTATGAATACAAAGAGTGGAGCAGTGGTAAAGTGCCTTACACACTTAGTGCTTACTGAGCCACGAAACCGATGACGTTTGATGCTTGGTCATGGATAATGTCTGTGGGGAGTGATATGTGAACCAGTCCCGAGTCTTCCCCTTCAGTCTGCTTTGACCAGCATTGTGAAGTATGTCACGCAACCTCGAATGCCCGACGAGGTGCGCGGAAGGTCTTCATCCAGCAGTGGATTGACAAAGGAGCTGTAAATGTAAATCTTAATCCATATGCCAAATTACGTGGTGTTTGAATGCCACTGTAAGACTCTTAATGCCCAGACTCTCATTATAAATCCATGCAATTCCTTTCCCAAGGCCATGATGACAAACTCGTGTGTATAATTTGACTTGTACCCGCACAGTTATTGTGGCCCCAATTAATTTGCCACAATTGGACCTCCCCCAACACCTACCCCTGACTCCCCGCCCCCCACCCTAATAGAAGCCTGCCCTGGTCACATTCGCAGCCATGGGTTCAATCCCATGTATGTACACGTTGGTACACGTATCAGCTCCTTGTCTATGCACTGCTCGTTGAGGCCCTCCACATGTCCTGTGGAGTATTTGGTCAGTGTGGGTTGGTGGAGGTGCGGGAAGCAAAGATGCTGGACTATTAAAGAAAGTATGGTCCAACAATAGACTTTTCTTCACTGCCTTCTGATGCCCACCCACAGCACAGCCACGCAGCTGCTTACAACAACCTGTTTTGTACAACGAGGTCGCCCATCCAAGCACGTAAGCAGGTCCAAACCCACTTAGCATTTGAGTGTCTTGACTAGATCGGGCGCATTCCGAGTTATTTAATCAGAGGTGGTCCTGCCATAGTAACGTGACATTTCCACCAGTGGCTCAAGGCAGTATGCAAGGAAGAGCAATGTACCACACCTGCCTGAGTGGCGTGACACACTTTGATTCCACATACAGCACATACAGATCAACGCACCATCGATTCTGACGCACGCGTATAGGTCGATGCGTGTATCGCGAGCGCAAGAGTGATTTTTTTTATGGCTCGATAAAGCGACGTCCCTTATGTTTGTGGACCCAGGCGGTGGGGGGGGGGGTGGCGATTGTGCTCAGAGGCTTTAATATCTTTAGCAGTTTGTGTGGCAATTGTCGGGAAATATTTATTTCTGTATTGTTAACCCCCACGACGCCCAGGGCTGTGGTCGCAGAGCGACGCGGGCTCACAGGTGGCGGTCGCTGAGCCGGCGCGACTGTAAACATGTTGACGGCCGCGCCACGCGCCCCGCCAGGGCACTGCACCGAGCCTTTACTACTCGCGCAGGTGGCTTACACTCGCACACTGCCTGCGGAACAGAACGACAGATGCTCACGTGCGCGGCTGTGACATTGTCGCACGGGATGTGTGCCACTAGCGTCGCATTGTCTCGATCCCCTTTGTGTTTCGCGTGGGTGTCTGTGGGGCTGCTGGTCCCACCGCCTGCTCGTGCGTCGTGCCGGCCGTCATAGGCGCTTGATCACAGCACTTGCCCCGGCCGTCCTGTGTGGTTACACGGGAGGCCTTTACCTCTGTGTCTGTCTTTGAGAGTGGTGGCGCAATTAGCTCACTGTGCTATGAACCAATTTACCAGATGGGTGGAACAGCTGCTCACGAGTATGCGGCTGTGACTTTATTGCACTGATATACCGCTGCATGTCTTCTCTTTGCGTGCTGTATGTACGTGTCATTGGGTGTGAGTTCAATTCGCAGCCAGTGAACGTCAGTGGCAAAGGTGGTGAGCGATATCAAAGCCAGTGCTAGGCCTCCCCTAGGACGACTCGGCCATGAATGAGTACCTGTGTGGTATATAAAACATCAAGGACACAACCGGGTGTGTGTGTGTGTGATCACATCACCTCCTCATGTGCCATTACGGCACTTTCTCCATCGGTCCATAAAGCGATATGGGGGATTGTCTGAGTTTGATTCCTGGCCATGGTAAACATTTGTGGTGAGTGATACATAAATTGGGCCTGGGCCTAGCCTCATCCTCAAATGAATACCCGGTGTCGTGTGTAAACATCAGTACTGAGGAGACAAAGGCGGCCTGGCTTGTGCTGGCCACGTCATCCACTCCCCTTTGCCTTGGCACCCTTGATATGAGCTCGCAGCACTTGACGATACATGGTTAACACACTGCTACGATCCTGATGACCTAGGCTTGATTGCCTGGCTGTGCCACACCTATCGTGTACATTAGTGTTGTTGAAGACAAAGGCAGACGGGTGTGCGTAGTGCTGGCCACGCCTCCCTTTTGTGTACAGTACCGGTTTCAATAGGTGCTGCCTAGCGACATTTGCACATACGGTGTATAAGGCTAAACGGTGTACACATGTGAAAATGGTGAGTGTGGTGTCGTGGGCGCTTTGGTAAGCATGCTGTGCTGTGAATCGGGCGATCTCGGTTCGATTCTTGACCACAGCCACTATTAATCCTGGGTGATGGTTGAACTATTGTTGACCCCCCCTAGGTAATTTCAGCCTTAAATGTGTACCTGGTGCAGTGTGTAAATGTCATGTCTGGTGAGATAAATATGGCTCTGGTGTCATTCTGGCCACACCACCCTCTCGCGTGCCTTGTCAGGTTTAATATATGTTCATTAACATAATTTACTCGAAACGGTCAGATGTTTGTATTCGAGTAAATGTCTTCATGGGTCACAGCAAAGCTCCACACGATGTACGCAAGAGAAACATTGGCCCCGAGGTGTTTAGGGCGGAGTCAACCTGAATAAAGCACAACAGTGGCCTCATTATGTGCGTCCGCAACATTGCTCTCTGATACGAATGAAGCTTCATTTTTTTGTTAACCTGGTAAATTCTACGTTGAACTTCTCTTTCACACTGCGTAGCCAACCGTGCTAATCGGAGGTGGTTGTCGGCGAAAGCACGTTTCCCGGTCTCCTGTAGAGGGCAGTAAGATTCAGGTATTGGCGTTGCTTGGCAGCCGAGGTCATGAGTGCGCTACGTTTGCCGGTGGTGTGAGGTGACTTGCACGAGAGTCGTGGGTGGCATTGGAAGAGAAGCACCTATTGTGCACGTGTCTGTGTGTAGGTCGAGAAACATTGTGTGTGTGTGTGTGTGCGTCAACAGACATTGTCTGTGTAACGTGGCACAATCGCTGTGGTGACGTCCCAGCCACTTAGTGGAGAATGGCAGCCTGTTATTGTTGGAGACGCATATGTGGTGCTGGCTACATCGCCTCCTTGATGCGCCGTTGCTACAACAGCCACCGTATGTAGCCAACCGTGCTAATCGGGGGTGCGTGGGAAGGACAACAAGCTAAACACTAAAAGCGGATTCTAAAGAAATGAGTTTTCAATCTAGATTAAAAAATGCATAGCTCCAGTGTCTTCCTAAATCGGAAGATCGAAACGTTGAAGCATAGAAGTACAGAGTAACGATGGATGTTACCGCACTACCCTCCGCTGCCCTCCGTTGAGCGCCGCAGCCTTATGAAAATTAGTTAATGTAGAGTTGTCACCCATCCAAGCACCTTATAGGATCACACCGTATAGGTTGACGTGATTAGGCGTATTCCAGGTGATTTGGTCATAGGAAAAGGTACTGCATATTTGTGTATAATTAGAAAATAAGTCATTCATTCTCAGACCCACAATTGCATACACATCATGTAATAATAGGGGTTTTTTACGCCAAAAGGCGTCATCTGGTCGAGCACCAATTGGGTCGAGGCTCAAAAGAAAGCCGTCCCTTGGTGTGGACCAATCAGTTTCAAGGGCAATGCATATATTATCATATTATGTTTTTTGTTTGCATTTTGACTGCAGGTATTGTGGTTAATGCAGACATGAATCCTTGTAAAAAGGTTTCAGTTTTGTTGCCAGAAAAAAGGGGGAAAACCCTATTATTACATTTTGGTACTGGCAAAGGAGGTCTATTGATGCATACACATCTTTAGGATCGATATTACTCAATGAATTGATTGAAATGAGTGATGCATTTTAAAATAAATATAAGGCCTATGTGCAAAATTGTTGCCAATGCTTTGATCCATGTGTCACGAACATAGACAAAGAAATTGAAACAAGAGCTCAAAAGTGTGCAAAGGAACGTGGAGGGGT